GATTAATTAGATGGAACATTGTGGGTGTGGTGTATGAATGTTAACACTTTGTAATAATTCTTTAATATATTACTTGTGTGGTGTAGAAGATAAGTATTTAAGAATGTAATTATGTATGAATGTTAATACTCTGTTATAATTCTTTAGTATATTACTTATGTGGCGTAGAAGATAATTATCTATGTAGAGATACTGCTTACAAACCAATGATGGTGAGATGATGTCATGGGGTAGGACTGGATAAGTCTGACTTCTTCCTACTCCATTCAAGCATGTACTAGGTATAAGCAAATTGATATTGGATTAGCATTTGTGGATATGTGTGAAATTATGTGTGTTGATATATCAACTGTCTTTACATTATTGAAAGAATAAATAAATCAAATCAAATAAATCAAATCAAAACATAATGAACCAGTTAGCTGCCCAGGCAAACAGCGCCAGTGGGAAGAAAAGATTGGCATTTTCTGTTTTGTTTTCAGGCCAGCATTACCTGCCCTGATTTCTGTTCTTAGATATTCTCCTGACAAATGAAAAGAGACAAAAATATGTGATTAAAGTTCTGGATGTATTCATGTATAGCGCATTCTCTGTTGTGCTGCTATTAATATTAAAAGACACTTCCTATGCACTTTTCAGCTGGCAGCTTCTCAGTAGTTCACACAGAATTTGGTATATCTTATGAAAAATGTTTTCATTAACACATAGATAATGAACTCTGCTCTGTATGTTGCCATCATATACACAGAATCAGTGACTGAACTGGGATGCTCTTTGATAAATCAATCAAATCGCATTTCACAGAGAATTGTGAGAATATATGTGCAATAACCCCTCGCTACCTCATCAAGCGTAATGCCATATCCAACTCCACCATGTGAATTACTAAATGCGATGTTTGCAGTTCACTGTGGGAAATACTATTACTCTATTTTTGTGTATTGTGTTTTAATACTTTGTCACCCTTATGTAACTTTTTTATTTTAAGCCTAAGTGTTCTTTCTGGCTTTTGACTCCTTACCTGTCTCCAAAGGAGAGCTGCACAAGAATTCCTATATGCCTAGACTGTCTGTTTATGCATAAATGGCAAATAAAACTCTTGAATCTTTATTTCTTTACCATAGTTATAAGTCCCATTAAAGCCTTATTCTCTTATTAGACTAAACATCTCTTCACTGTTTTTTATATCACCCAGATTTTTGTGCTTTAGGCAAAATTCACCTCTCCTGTCAAAAACATCTGCTTTGCATATTATTGTCCAATTTGCTGAAAGGCATTTGGAGGAATTGGTCACCCCATGCTGTAGAGGAAAAACTCAGCGCCATGCTTCTCCAAGTGATTGCTTCTTTTGAATATTTATAATAATTTATGTTCAATGAGTTTTCGGGTGTGGAGACTTGGTGAGAAGTAAGAATCAGATTTTCAGATTTTTGTAAAGGCATTCCAAAAAACTGACATGGCAGTTAGATTAATCAGTATTGTTCCCAATATTCTTCCTGCAAAAGAGTTGTTACAAATGATATTGGTCACACGCATGCAGCTTTTTTCCTTTTGTCTTCTTCAGCATCTTCTCATGCTTGCTCAGCTGGATGTCGTACTCTGATCTGATTAACCCAGATGTCAGCTTTAGTGGAACAGCAGGGTAGAAAACACAGTCATGTTTCAGCAGAACTGATGATGTTTCAACCAGTGATGGGTTTTCTCTTGTACAATAATAGCTGTAAATCCACACTATCATTTCAACAGTCTAATCAATGCATTGTTTTTACCAGCAAAAGGAAAGCACTGTGTTTGTAATAACAAAGGAGAGCAGTTACAGAGCTAGCAGTGGGGAATGTTTGTGCCTGAGGCCTCCTGAAATCCCATAGTCCCAGTGTGTGTGTCAGGATATAAATAGAGTTGCTCCAATTCATTAAGAGGTGCTATAGGGTAGATGCAAATCATCACCTCAGTCCATCCAACCCATGCCCTGTCCTGGATGAGTCCCTGGACCACTGGCATTCATGGAGCCAAAGCTGCAACAACTGACTTGATGTAAAACCTGGCTGATGAAATGTCAAGCATTGCGCAATACACTCCTGGGTGTTTCTGCAATGTGTGTTAGTCTTGGGTGTTGTGGCTCTTTGATCTGTGCCCAGCAGGCTGTAACATATCAGCCTGCCATTATGTGTGAAATAATGCAGCTTTAGATTCAGTGTAATGAGTCATTTTACTTTCTGCACTGAGGTAAAAATAATTTTGCTTGTGGGGTTTAAACATAAGGCTGAATTCCTTTTATCTTCACAGCTCAGATTCAGGTAGTTTCCTGTGTGCATATAAATGATGCAAAAAGATCAAATAGAAATATTATTGTTAAGAAGCGGCTGGATACGTTCAGTCCAGTGTGTAGAACTGGGCCTTCAGGGGACAGTTCTGTACTACACTGATACACTGACAGCCTGGATCTATGGACAGTTATACTAACTATACAATTGGGTATGTACCAGTTAAAGCAAATAGAACTAAAGGGTGGGACAAAAGAAGATGTGATATCCTAAACTGTACTGTAGGTGTACTCAAGATGGCCAGGTGCTAGAACTGAAAGTTATTTTGTTGGAGTCTCTGGACCAGCAAATGCAATCTCATATTCCTGAGTAAGCTTTTTATTCAACTTTTTTAAATTTAATTTAATTTTATTTTATTTTAACATCAAAACACGAATGTATCTTGCTCACAAACTCATTCATTCACATTTAGCAGGCTGCAGATTCTCCACAAGGGGAGGTTTGTTTGTTCATTGCCAGGCCAGTTCTTCACATAAAACTTGATGTGATATGTGAATATTTTTTGTTTTATATTTAAAAAAAAAAAACACTGCAGTTTTGTGGTATCCACTGACTACTGTAGTGTGTCCACGTTTCAGATGTCACTGAAGGGCTCATGTTTTCAAAAGACTATCTCCAGTGCCCAAATGAGAGCCGGCAGTTGCATGTGGATCTCAGTTGTGATGTTGTTGTATTTTGGGCCTGTTCTGTTATTGCTTTTAACTTCCAGAAATGCACTTTTAGACTGAATCAGATTACATACTTTAAAACAAAGATTTCTGATCTGATTACACTGATTCGTTACAATCACTATGTAAATGAACAGACACAATTTCTATTCAGTGTCGATTCTGAATATAGAGAATTTGTTCTGTATCAAAGTGGCTTACATCGTCAACAGTTATTTCCAATTACTGTGTGTCCACAGGTAATTGTTCTCACAACATATGTCCAATAAATATATTGCCAGGAGCTGCGTCCCCTCATCTTTATTCATTAAACCTGATAATGTGGATGTCAGCTCAGTGGCTCCGCAGAGACAGGTGCCTGCTTGTCAGGGGTAACTGTACATCTGTTCAATACGGAATCACAGCTGCTAAATAAAACAAAAGCACTGCATTTCTTTCTTTAACATTTGTTAGGAAAAGGACCAGTCTCCAAATCATACCCAATTAAATTCACTCTGATAGTGACATATGCTGCCTGTAGCATTCTGTAAAACACCAGTCAGGTTGAAGGATATAAGATAATCACTGACGGATCAAGAAGAACAAAACAACCACTTTATATCCAGCTAATTCAAAAGCCTTGGGTCATGCTCTTCACGGGATGTCATAAGTTAGTTAAAGGTGGTGTTGGACTATATTATATTCAGCGGTGTCTCTATATTTTTGTCCTTCCCAGCTACATACATGAGAAGGTCAGAATATTAGGAACACCTCTGAATATAATGTAGTGCAGTACAACTCCACCTTTAACTATGACTTTCATAACAAATATATAATTAAGTTTAGACATTTATTTATTTCTGTGTGGAGTTTGCATGTTCTCCCTGTGCCGGTGTGGGTTCTCTCTGGGTACTACCTCCCACGGTCCAGACATGCAGCTTAGGCACATGCAGCTTGATTGGTGACTTTAAATTGCCCGTAGGAGTGAGTGTGAGTGTGTGTGGTTGTTTGTCTAAGTGTTAGCTCGTTGACAGACCGGTGACCTGTCCAGGGTGGACCCCGTCTCCTGCCCAGTGTCAGCTGGGATAGACTCCGCCCCTCGCAACCCTATTCAGGAATAAGCAGTAGAGATGATGGATGGATGGATGTACATGTGTACAGCTGTGTTACTATCCGGATAGTAACAAACAAAAAAGATGAATTATTATAAACCAACACTTTATTTAAGACACATATTTTACAGGTCATTGATTCACTTCTTAAGCTGAAATGACATTTACATAAAACGTTAGTACTCCATCATAATCCTGTATGACATTATTGGTATTATACTTCTAAATACTCAAATGTACCTAAGTCTACGGTATTTACATAAACCTGTTATTCCAAATGTTCCAAAAATGCCTGTTTTATCTGCATAAATATTGTCAGTGTGCTTCTATTTGTAATCCTTGACACAATATTTACTCCCTAAAGAGAACTAGATCTATTTCATCAGTTAGCTCTCAACTTCAGGACAAACTATATGCATGATGATAAACATACAGAGTTATAAAGCCTTGACATCTGCAAAGCAGTGACACATATTACAGTAAAAGAGAAAACCCAACTTGGCAAAATTCAAGTTCTCTTTTTTCTCAGCAGACAATACAAACAGTTGCTTCACAGTTGACATGAAGGATGGGACTGGCAAAAAAAAAACAAAACTGCCAATCCCACTGATCAATAATATATTACAGTTCAATTAGTAACTTCAATGCTAACAGAGTCAAAGCTACACTGTTCACACAGTTTCAAGTAAGCCTGTCACTAGTAAACTAATAGAGCAGCAAGAAGCAATGGTGCACTCTGGTGAGGGGCCTTCACTGTAGCAACAGAATAAAACATGAGGTCAGAACTTCAGCACCAGAGATCGAATCATTGTTCAAATTAAAAATGCCTTTCTAATAAATGTACAAAGAAAGAGTACATGTGACAAATACATCTGCTTTACAGCAGTTATGACACTGCGCTGTATGAATGTGTGAGCCTACCGTTTTGCCTCCAGCTACAAAGGTATTTTTATACATACTCAGAGGAGTGGAATGTCTGTGTCGTACAAACTTGCAAGTGTTTGGTTTAAATTCTGTTTATGGAACGTTATCCTCTGTTGGTGAGCATATTCGAAACTGATATGTTGGGTAAACACAACTGGGATATTTCTGTTGCGCTCCTGCTCCTCTTTCAAGTCCCTAATGTTCCATTACTAATACAAAATTACTTTAAATTATCAAAATTGTGTAAACCTTCCTCATGTCATACCTAAGAATATACATTTTTACATTCAAATGATGTAAATACAGTAAATTATAAATGACACTTTTTGGTCTTTTCTAGTTTAGAACAATTGTCAAACCTTTACAGATCATCCACAAGAAAAGTAACATTATACATTTCCATTCCTGTACTACTGCCTGACTCCAGTACATGAGCTATCTTTACTGACAGTAAAATGCAATAGGCCAGCCAGCCCTCTGGGCTAACCTCACTCCACTTTTCAAATCAGTAAATTATGGTGCTTAGCACCACACATGGACAGCTATGAAATTGTACTGTACTGCAAAATACACATACTTGCAGACAAATATATCCTTTCATAACACCTCCATAATGATGAGTCAAAAATGCTACAAAACACTGACTGTAAAACTACACTTATATTAAACTGTTCATTCTTTCATGATCAAAAATGTCATCCCACTTACTGTTCATAAAACACGTTGCTTATTCTTTCAGACCCTTTGTTTAGGATTGACTCCAAACTTTTGATAAATCAGGAGAAGCCAAATGAGTTGAAAAGAATCCAATAAAATATTTCGAGCTTACCCACCAGCTAATTTAGATCGGTCTGCAATGAGTACCACCAAAAACCATGACATGGTAGATTACAAGTGACACTTTAAAGAACCCATGGCATGCTTTTCCTTATTTTCTGACTTATCGAAAATATTAGAACGGTGAATTATCATCTCAAACGTGACCACAAGCTCAAAAAATGAGAACAGACGAACAATGGGGTTTCTCAATTACCTGCTTTGTTTAGAGTGTTACACATCTCTTTTCATCAATACATACACCGTTGTTTACCTATCTATGAAGGAGAAATTGATATGAATTAATGCCGTGGTGGTTCGTTGTGCTGTTCACTTGCGTCACAACACCGCCGGCAGGAGCTGTGCACGTTCACGAACTATTTTATGATTCTGAAATAATTTGACTATTTTAGTTATAAGGGGTGCCAAGCTAATCTAGAGGTAGCCAAGATTAAACATTAAATGGCTGGAAATGAGCAAAACGAGCATGCCATGGGCAGGGGGACAAACCTGAACTGAAATCACTCATGCCTCATCTTTAACAGGCCTATTGATTCTAGATGGCACAATACTGTAAATCCTCAAGCATTTACCTGATTATGTACATCCCACATAGCTGTCAATCATTGCTAAGATATATATGGTACATATTCATGTAGTATTTTTCTGAGAGACTATGGCAAACTGATCTATGTTTCATCTCAATTTATGAGACCAATTACTTTTTTAAATGTTCTTGAAAATGCAATCAATAGTACAGCACATACAGGAGTTTGAGTCAGAAATACAGGGTTTTATAGTATCCCTGACTTTGTCAATAGTGACTATTAATGTACACAGCACTATACTAGCAGAATGGTAGTTCAGTAAAGGTCACTGGTTGCTTGAGCTGAATGGCCTAGCTTTACTATTAAAATGTGCAGTGATGAACTTTGCAGAATACCTACAATTGAGACTTCTGATCTAGTCATTTCATCTATGTATAATCTTGTGTGCATGACCCCAAACTTTCATCCTTCAGTAGCCGTCTTGCTGAATATTTACTGGATCATGGGATCATCACCGGGAGAAGCCAGAGCTGGGACATATGGCTGAGTTTTGTCATCACTGTGGGCTGTGTTGGACATGGTGGTGAAGGACAGGTGGTCGTGCTCCAAAATGGCGAGGCGGTCCTGCGGCTTTTCCTTCTTCAGGTAGAACATCTTCCTCAGCTGTTTGAGTTGCTGCAGCTCACAGAAGGTCTCCAGCACCACCAGCATGACTATCAGACCCAGGATCAGGTAGACTGACGAGGCAAACAAGGGCAAAAGGAGGGACGTGTGAGTGATTAGCTGCTGGGAGTAGTAGTATTAAATACCATTGTATCAAAAACATATATAACCCTGACAAGAAAACACTTTCATTCCTCTTTTTATAAAAATTAACACAGTTTAGCCTCTTTCATCTTTTACTTCATCACTGTAGTATGTTTCCTGATACCTCAACTATCGCAGCTGATGAAATCCTGCTGTTAACATTTAAAAATATTTTAGGATTTCAGTAAGTCATCCTACTGGAAAAACACAAGCAATGTGTTCCTTTAATTTGTTACCTAACTCACTGACACATAAAGGCAGTGACTAGCTAAATATGTAATCAAGGACAGAATGCATCGCTTTGTTTCTTGGTGGCACAGGAGGAGTAGCATAAAGAAAGAGCAGAAGACAAAGCTGAAAACCCCCGTGTACACCTTCAGTGATCAGTGTGAGCAGTGGCTGTTTGGCTCTTTGGTATACTCGGACTTGGAAAACCCAAGGGGTGTCTTGGCCAGTGTCTGAAATATAAGAACAATAATATTTCAAGTCCCCTTTCCTAGAAGAAAAAGTCTGTAATTTGCCCAAAGTTACTTGAATTTGCTTTAGGACGCGGCCTTTTGTTTGGACATACACAGAGCAGCGCTATTCCCAAGAGGCAAATCCTACAGCTCATCACCGAAGGCGCTGGCAATATTAAGAAAAACAACATCAGTTGTTCATTATTTGTAACAAACTTTTAGGATAAGGTCAGTCATTTTCTATGTTAACAGTATTTTCAACACTCCCCATACAGAGACTAAAACCAACAACTCATGATTAATGTCTGTCGGTCCTGCATTAGCTTTTTTATCTGTGCCAAAGACCTCTGTTGTTGTTCAAAAACAATAAAATATGCATCAGGGAAACAGCCCACTTCAGTGAGTGACACATTTCCTTATTACAAAACACAAGACCCTGATATTAAGAATATTCAGAGTAGTGCCGCAACTAACGATTATTTTAATAATCGATTAATCTGTCAATTTCTAGGATTAATCAATGAATCAGAAGTATAAGAAAAATATGCAGAAATCTATTTTCCACATCATAAAAACAAAAATGCATTCACTTAAACTGTGCTTTTGCAATGTTTCTCTGTAGTCCATTATTAAACAAAACATTTATTCTTTGTTAAAGAATAGAGCTTTTATAAAGTGCACAACAGGGCCAACAGTGTTAACAAAAAGACTAAAGTGTTTGATTTAAAATAAGTTACAGTTTCATAAAACATACCATGCTAATGCATCATCAGTGTGTTCTTACTTTACTAACTAAAATTAACAACTGACTTAGCTCTAGCCTCCCCTTCTTCTGTAACTCTGTGTCTTTTCTTTAGGTGCTAATTCCACAGCGTCATGCTCCTCTTATCAATTTTATTGATTAGCTGTTGCAGCCCTAATCCAGAGTTCTTGTGCATCGGCCCTTGACTCTTGTTTACTTCAGATGCTGTAGAAACAGATGGCTCCTCGGAGCCGGTCTGGCATTTCATATTGGGAAAACGTGTCACCCAGTGCAGGGGTTTGTTTTCCTAATGTGTTTCTGAACAACAATTGAGGTCTTTGGCACAGCTAAATAAGATAATCCAGGACTGACACACAGACTGGCTGACATTAATCGTGAGCAGAGGCAAATCATTGTTGGTTTTAGCCTTTGACTGCAGAATATTGTAAATACTGTTAATATAGAAAATAGCTGGTCTTCTCCTTTAAGCTCTTCCATGTCAGTACTCCATCCATCCATTTTCCTCCACTTATCCAGAACCGGGTCGCAGGGGCAGCAGTCTAAGCAAAGATGCCCAGACTTCCCTCTCTCCAGACACTTCCTCCAGCTCCTCCGGGGGGATGCCGAGGCGTTCCCAGGCCAGCCGAGAGACATAGTCCCTCCAGCTTGTCCTGGGTCAGTACTCCATAGTGGTAAATCACTTCCAATATGAGCATGTAACTTTTCACAGAGGAAGCTGTATAAAAGTGGCTGGTGTCATGTGTAGAAACCAACATGTTCTGTCACAGCCTTCGTTCCTCCTACAGACTGACACATCATGCCCAGTGAATGACGTCTCTCTGGCTGCTGCATAATTCACACCCACATTATAGGTGACAATTCACTGGAGTAATGTTCAACATTCGTTCACAGCCCCCAGCTTGTCAAGACTTCATGTTTTCAAACTGGGTTTGTTTTCATTTGAGTCAGTATTAGCCCTGACAGTGCTGCTGACAGCATGCTGCATAAGTCACCCACAAAATGCCATCAATGCCTCACTGCTCCCCATTAGCCATGGTCCAATTTTATATCCTGCACTGCTTGTTTTATTTGATCTGAAAAATTAATATGGCTTTAAACATGTAGGAAATGTCAAAATGTTGTTTTGTCAGCTGCATACAGCAGCTTAACAACATCCAGAATGTAGAAAAGGTTTAGCAAACAGCTAGTGCAACTACAACTTTGTAATGACTTTTACACTGTGTAAAGGTTTTGTTGTAAATGGACTAATAGTCAAATAGTGCTTTTCTACCCACTGAAATTACACAAAGTGCTTTCAAACCATTTGCCTGTTCATCCATTTGCGTAAGCACCAGTTACATCACCAGGAACAAAGGGCCAGTGTCTTGCCCAAAGGCACTTTGACGTGTGGAGTGGAGAAGCTGGGAATCGAACCATCAGCCCTGCAGTTAGGGGACGACCTGCTTTATCTCCTGGGCCACAGCCGCCCCTGAAATGTTTTCTAGCAGAATATATACCTACTGCAACAGCAAGTTCTATGCCATTTTTCTAACTTTGAATGTCAGTGGTAAGAGCCTTATTTATCAGTTAAAGCACATAAATAACTGAAGACTATAGAAGTTGAGTTCTAGTTTTGTAATACTGATCTTTTTAAGATCAAAAAGGATGATCCTACTCTGTCTGTCAGGGAAGTGAAACTATAGGTCCTACCTCTGTTGGTCTATTACCCTGAGCTATTTTGAGTGGATTTTAAATGAAAGTGAAATAACTGATTTGAAACTCTTAGCCACGTCCAGTCAAAATAAAGTCTCTACTTCCATATACAGTATATTACAATCTGTAAGTAAGGTTAAGCTAATTCTCAGTCTATGAAATAATAAAACAGTTGTTAGGAGTAACCAACTATATCTGAATTCTGTCTGTGTAGCTGTCACTCTGAAGCATGTGTTTGCCATACTGAACACAGTAGAATACATTTTTTACATAAGCTTTCACTAAGCAGGTCAAAGAAAAAAGAACCAGCTGGTTGTTTCACACTTAGTTCAACATTCACCATCATAAAACCTGCTATATGTTAAAAGCTCACATCAGTAAATCATTACAACACTACTTCTGAGACAATGGGACTATTTACTGTAACATGACCACATCGACACCATCACTATATTGTATGCTGCACAAAGTAAACAGAGTTTTATTTCTGGATTGTTTTATAGCTCAATAGGCAGGAGAGTGCTGTTCTTCCAGTGCAAACAAAGGGAGATGTAATATCCTCTTTGCAGCAGAAACCACTGTGGGGTATGTGTCCTGATTTGACACCAACATTACTGTGTGAACCAAATTATGTTTTGACAAAAGTATCACATTCAATTTGACAATGACACAGGAGCAATTCATTTGAGGTAATAACAGCTACCACCACCATGGAAATGGCTCCCAATCAGAATCATCAGTACTCACCGGTGATGCCCACTTTGTACAGCTCCCTGAACTTCTGATTAGCGGCCTCTCCAGGTACATAGTCCCCCAGTCCGATGGTGCTGAGGGAAATGAAGCAGAAGTAGAAGGATTCGAGGAAGTTCCAGTTCTCCTCTAGTGCTGAGAAGATGGCGGCGGGGATGAGGAAGAAGCAAGACACTGCCAGCATGGCAAGCAGAGTGGCGTGAACGATGGCCACCAGCGGCTTGGACAGGCCCCAGCGTGTGTGGATATACATAATTGGCCTTCGTGTGCTGAACACCATGATCCTTTGCACCACAGCAGTGAGGAAGAGGAGGGTGAAGGGGATGCCAATCACTGAGTAGATAATGCAGAAGGCCTTCCCACCATCTGACAGAGGCGCCGTGTGACCATATCCTGTAGGAAAACAAAATGTTTCAGGTATTATCATAAAAACCGCTGCTGGAAAAGATTTCTATGAGAGCGCAACACTTTTCTATTAGACTTCAACTGCCTCATAATTGTCACTTAATGTTAGGCTGTAAAATGATTCACATAGGACAAAATTTAGGTTAATATAAGTACATTATAATACTGTATCTCTGTGTATTTTATGGAAATGTATCTCTATTTTTTAAATGTATTTATTAATCACTAAACAAAAGGGAATATTTTTCTGACACCAAATATTACATCAAGACCTTTCTGGTTCTGTACCAGAAACAAATTCGTTGTGTGTGTAACATACTTGGCCAAATAAAGTGATTATCCTTTTATGTTTTGTCTTGTGCACTAATTAGCACCTAGCACACTTTCATTCATTTTTAACCCACTTTGTTATACTGCATTTATTTACATTGCATTTAGTATTGTGATGTTTATTAACTTGTTCATTGAGGTTTGTTTTTTTTACTGTTTTAACTCTGACTGTCCATGGGCAATATAAATCACAGAAAATTAATTACCTTTGTAAATATGCATGGTATTTACATTCTGGTGAGGTGGAAATAACAAGAGTTTTAAAAATACCAAGGTTCCTTTACCTGGTGGAATTCAAAAACTATTTAATGAAGGGGAAGGGGGATACAATTTAAGGGGTCAGTTAAATTTAAAAATTCATGCTATACGTACAACCAAAAAAAGATTTTGTATTTCCTTAAGTGGGGTAAAACTATGGAATAATTTAAGTGTAGACATAAAAAATAGTAATAGAATTGACGAGTTTAAACATAAATATAAAGGTATGTGTCAATCAAGATATATGCAAGAACAGGCTTAATGAATAACTACATGGACTATTGTGGGTGTGGTGTACATTTTGTAACCATTCTTTAATATATCACTTGTGTGATGTAAGAATGTTAACACTGTTATATTCTTTTTTAGTATAATATGCGTGTGTGTGTGTAGAAGTGAATCATTTACTGCTTGCAAATCAATGATGGTAAGATGATGGCATGGGGTAGGACTGGATAAGTCTGACTTCTTCCTACTCCATTCAAGCATGTACTAGGTATAAGCAAATTGATATTGGATTATGTGTAAAATTATGTGTGTTGTTATATCAACTGTTTTATATGCTTGAAAGAATAAATCAAATCAAATCAAATCCTTTAACATGAGTGTGGAAAGGAGGAAACTGCAGAACATTTGCTTGTGATATATGTTGTTAAAAGCAACCAACTCACTTTCAGCTTCTGCTTGGAGTTTACTTACATACAACGCAACTACTTCTGTTAAGAATAAAATGAACATGTGGTTACAGACTGGTTTATAATGAAATTCAGAGAAAGGGAGAACCCAATAGCGTGTATCGTCTCATCTCATGAGCCAAGTGTATCATCACGCCCCTAATTACTGACATTAATAATAAGCAAAATGTTTGAGACTAAAACAAGCAAAAACTATCACAAGGAATCCAACCCCTATCTGACAGAGATGTCTGTCAAGTCTCTGTTTAGCTATCAACAGAATTGTGTTGAGACATACACAAGAAATAAAGTTTTCTGCACTCAGGCAAACTATATCTGCACAATCTTGTGCTCTATGTTCAAACCTGACAGATAACTGTTGCCATGTGGTCAGAGTAAAGTTCTTCCTGTAACAAGCAGCTGCGAGCTGTTCTTTTGTGTAACACTAGATATCAAAAAAATATCGTACAAAACTCTTTAAATGCCTAAAGACATACTATATAGAAGAGCATGTTAAAAGAATCTGCTTATAGAACATGTGATTGCCTTGGAGGGATGACAATGTTGACATATCCTGTCAAGTCTTTGCATTTCTTCCATCCCTGACACTGGATATTGGCCTTTTTCTGTCTGAATTACAGCAAGTTACTGTGTCGCCTATCCTGTTATATTTATGAAAGGTGTTGCTGCAAACACAATGTGAGATAGGAAGCCATACAGCTATGTTCTATAACTAAATAAAGAATAAATGCATCTAAAGTCACATGAATGAAGCCACAGCTTTGTAGCCTGACTGAAATCTTGGAATTAATTGTATTGTAATACATATGAATGTAATGAATAAAGGGAATATCACCTTCTTTTGTCCCTTTTCTTTTTGCTACCTGCCTATAGGCCATATTGGACTGCGTGGCCTAGTGCAGGTTTATATGCAGCAAGTCTGACATAAAGTTATTTTGCTGAGGATGCTCAGGCGAAATCGAGCCTACGTAGCCTACTTCTTGTTAAAATAAAAAGACAAAGCACATTTAAACATATGCATGTTTTATATGCTTTATGCTGTGCATGTGACAGGCTGCAGCATCACTTACACTGTGCAGCCTGCTGGAGGTAACTTACCTGTGGTGGACAGCACGGTGCTCGCAAAAAACAGCGCAGACGTGAAGTCCCAGTTCCAGTTAGCTGAGGTGTTATTGAGGATGGAGACCCCGTAATTACTAGCATCCAGTGCCTTCTTTAGAAACCGCTCCAGACGCTCCTCGGACAGACAGTCATGTTCCAGCAGGAACTGTTTTTTAATGGCCCTCAGCTCCTGACGCAGGAGGTCTTCATAAGGCAGCTCGACCGAAGAAAACACAACAGCTCCGAATATGAGATAAAGGAGATACCCTAAGACTAGAAAGACAAAATACCACGTCGATTTGTGATTCTGTATCAAACGCACACAAGAATTGCTGGCTAGAGACTGGAGCATTTTCAAGAGGTATATCACCTCGATTACGGACTCAAATAGCTATTAATTTGAAAAATAACGTTATTAATTTGACTGCCTTGCGTAGCCTATTATGTGCCGAAATATACCCTGTCTATTTAGATATTGTTAAAGCCGAATCTCAAATGATTCTCTTCCCCCTCCGTAAAACCTGCTCTGGCAGCTCAGGCGTTCAAGTGCAGTCGAGAATATTATAACTACACCATGAGAAGAACAGTATTTAGGCAAGGAAACTGACAGCTACTCCACGTGAGATGCTGTGGTCGTTAGGGACGTCTTTTGCAGATTAGCAGGCTACTGTTGTAAGACGACTTTACAAAAAAAAATCTCCTTAAATTTATGAAGCATGCACAACGCTGCTTTACGCTCTATTTGCATTCAAGTTAACGTAATAACGCAATTGGGCGCGATTACTAAAAAGAAAATACAGTCTCTTTTTTATAAGGTACCACGATAATGTTGATATTATGCCCCAAAACACGACGATAATGGCTCCCGAGTTTGCAGTTAAAGTATTTCCGAGCTTCAAAGGACACCTGAATGCAGCAAGTGATGTGGCGGCGACAAAGACCGTGTGACGTAAGAGCTCTCCTCTCTCCTCCCAGGCAGACGGGTATGTTTCAGTTTCCAGTGAAAACGTCACAAAGCTATTGTTACTGTTTCCCCGCCCGTTATTTTGTTACCACAAAAGGTGATTAGAAAGAAGGAAGTCGTGGGTGTGGAGAGACAGGGTTATTCGTGGCTTTAGAGAAAACCTGTCCATCAGGCATCAGATGAAAGATGCTTTAATAAAGCCTAAACAGGCTATACTGCCTTTGGAACGTTTACAGTGGTGGAAGAAGCTACACAGGTTTTTTTTAACCTAAGTAAAATAAAAATAGTAAAAAAAAAAAAAAAACCACTCTGTAATAAGCATACACGAATTGTAATACAATGTGCGGCTGGGGACAGACATGTAAATGGACCCACCCTCCTACAGTCTGCAGCCTGTCTCTTTTTTTTTTTGTCTTTTTACATCTCAGCCCAGGCCCGTTCAGTCACAAGTAAAAGCTCTGCTTTCACAATGTTAAAGTAGCCGAGTAGCCTGTCAGTATCAAAATACACTTGAAGAAGAATGGTACATTTCACATTAATGTATATCATGTTATTGGATTATAGTTGATGCATGTGGTCATCACTTCAATATTGCAGCTGATAAAGGTGGAGCTAATGTTAACCACCTTGTATACATATACTTTGAAACACTTTACATACAGCTGGGTAACATGTGAACTCCCCACCAGGGATCAATAAAGTCTTGTGATTATACTGTACATTTTGTTTTGTTAATCTGATTCTGAAAAGTAACCAAAGTTGGAAATGAAACTTCTTACCATGGAATGGTAAGAAATACTCACCTTCAATGAATGTACTTAGTTACTTTCCACCAGTGGAATTTTCACTACAAATATGGCTGCATTAATTTTGTAACAGCTATTTGATATACATGCAGTTCTGATGTGTTATTCTTGTTTTTATATTGTGAAATTATTTTTGCATTTTGCAAAGGTTTATTTATAGGCTGTATAGAAGATATAACATTTCTTTATTAAAGAATGGCTCCAGAAAGTTACTTGAGTAATCATATACTGTAAATAATATATAGTCTACTCAAGGTCTGCTGATCCTGCAGTCTACAGTAATATAAGGCCTGAGCCATGGGTCTGCTTTTGTTGGATGCATCCTGAATCAGTCACATTGCTGCATACGGTGCTGTGTAACATATTTTTAATTTTCCTGAATCACACATATATGTAATATTGATGTGCTTCTGACTCATGAAGAAAATATACCTTTGACAAGGGAACTATATTATTTTGAGTAGACACCTTAGCATGGTCAGGGTAACACCAGCTCCCGTTATTTCAAGATGTATCACTGCGCCACTGAGAGGAAAGTGGCCACTAACCTTGTGCATATGATGCCTAACATCACAATTTTGTTCAAGCTCCAGTTATGAGCACCTCAGTAAGGACTCCTGGATTGCACTGCTATAGAAATCATTTTTATATTCACTTTTTGGCCATTTGTGTGAATACACACTATTTTAGATACAGTTCACTGTCTCCACATAAAATGTTTGCCCATAAATGTCACATACATTGTTTACATTAATAAAATGAATGTAAAACTGTAGGCTATGTAATATCACCTAAGTGTGAATCTAATCACCTAACTGTAGGCTATGTAATATCACCTAAGTGTTGTTGCATAACCAAGTGGGCAACTGTGCTAAACCCTAGACCACTAGGGGCCCCCAGAACCCCCATAATGCAAAAGCACAACATCAACTGACATTTTAACAGCTAGGCTACGATGGGCCAGCTTTAATACCTTAGCTTAAGGCTGTGACCATGAAACCATGGACAGAATCTGTAATTAGTTCTCCAACTGAATACAACAAAAAGAGTTGTCATAAATAATTAACTGAAATGATCCCAAATAGTCGTTTGTTGCAGCTTGGATTTTACACTGCATTATACAGTATATCAAGTGATTTAATTCAGTCATTATATATATCAGTCAAGTGGTCACCATAGAATAACCAGTGGTGGAAGGTTATTTAAGTACAGTTTTGTAGGTTTTTGAACTTTACTTGACTATTTCCATTTTCTGCTGCTTCATACTTCAACTTCACCACATTCAGAGGCAAATATTCTTTTACTCCAGTACAGTTATCTGATAACTTTAGACACTAGTGACTTATCAGAATCAGATTAATAGTATCCTACAAAATATAGTGAGACTATAACCATAAGACTTTATCAATCCTGAGTGGAACATTCGCAAGATCCTCAGCAGTATGTAAAGTAAGTATTAGATTCAAAACTTATGATCAGCAGAACAACATATAGGATAGTTACAATTAACTCTATCTATATAAGCTGCAACATTAAAGTGATGTACACAATAAATATACCATTTTAAATGCCGGACCTTTACTTGCAATACGGTGTTTTTACACAGCGACACTGCTACTTTTTTAAGGATCTGAATACTTCTTCCATTAGTGATGATAACTGATTCACTACTCGGAGGATAAAAACAAGCACCTGCACAGCAGAGACCGTACGTATATGACCTATCCGGGGTGCCGTAGTAATGCAAATCTGTGGCACTCCTCCTCAATGAACGTTGGAAAGATGGCGACGGCATACGCACTAGCAAGAGTCAACTGTGCCGGCGGATAGAAAGTGCTTCAAAGAGACAAAAATCCGCCTCTTTTGCAAAGATTTAACGGTGCAAAGTCTGTGTAATATCGTTTAGACATGGTTTAGTCCATGCACGGCTAGGAACAAGACGCCATTGCTTTCCAATGGAGCCTCCGGATCGTAACAAGCCCAGCAGGTATGCGAATTTGTTGAACAGACTACTACACCACCAGGACCTCGCACTTGCCAAATAGGGAGCTGAACGTGATACTGCAGTCTGCTCTAGTGGAGCGCTTGCAAATCCATTGGAAATTGACTTCCTGTCAAATAGTGGTACGCGTGCAGTTTAGTGTATTTGCAACACTGGAGTTGCAAACTTTTTGGAGCAACATTTTCAGACGTACTTTCCTGCAGATATTTGTTTCCCATCTAATCCTGGGTTGCCAGAAAGAACGGCAAAATGCCCGCTAAAAGATAAGGTAACATTACGATCAGTCATCAAGCGCTGTAATAGTGCAACATGTCAGGGAACAAGCTAGCTAACATCTACTGTTAGCTGTCTCTTGTCAGTTTTTTGTTCACACATAAGTTCACTCATAGACACGAGCGAAGCTGAAGCTAGATAAATATTGTAACGTGGGCTCGTAAGGTTGGCTTGGAAGTGTGTTCTTGTTATTTGAGAAATTTAAGACCATGCATTTCACCATAACATCGAGTCACAAACTTCGAGGATTTTAGCTAGCATGTCATTGTTAATCCTCTGGCTTGACGCTCGTGTTGTTGTTGACTCGCACACCGCTGCTGAATCATGGTATGGACTCACCGACTCTGTACGGTTCACTTATACATGTTATGCTGTTTATGTTGTGTCGTTAGTTTTTTTTTTTCATAGAGCTCTGCAACTTAGTTGACAATCTGTTGCAAATGTATGTGAAGCAATATACGGTATGCCTTCTCGGTGCTCATATAACAAGGCTAGCGGACGACATAATTTCTGCAATCTCGCAAGGGAATGCATACAACGAGACATTTGTGAGATGTTTTTGTCATATGTGGGCATCTCCTAATCGAAATGCATGAGTGTTTGCCCCTGACCGCTGGCGACAGAGCCTCAGGAATCTGCTGTTATGTCTTCCCCTCTTCTCCCTTCTCCTCACATGCAGTTGTTTGCAGGGCGAGTGACTATGGAGGCATGTTGGATCAGCTCTATCATCTACAGTAATCCTGGCTTTGGGCAAATAGCTTGGCTTTTTTTGTCGACTAACGTTATTTCAGTAATTACTGCGTGCCAGCCAGTTGTTGTGCTCTTGTGGATACACAAACGGCTCTCATGGTTGTGCAATATTGGCCCTGTTAACGTTATTGCTGACCTGCATTATTGCATAAAGAAAAATACTGAGCCACTAATCATACTGTTGCTGGAAGCATAGCAGTGTTGACATGATTGGAATATATTTACAGTTTTGTACCCTTCTTTTGAGTGTGCCTAAAGTTTGGCTGAAAGGTGAAGTATGCTTTGTAAAACTCAAATATATACATCGGTAGTGATTTAATATTAATTGGAGATGCAGAGTTTTTACAGCAACAGGATTAAAAACTTACAAACCTTGGACAGTTGCACCCAGTAAGGGTTATATGGCCTAAGGGGTAGATGTTACAAGGTACACAACATTACTTTAGGCTGTGTTGTGCACACTGCATAGCTATGAACTTAAAACTTCAGCCTGAAATGAATCTGCACTGACTTTACTGTAGCAGCAACAAGCAAAAAAATAGTTGCATTATAGTCAGCATCAGGCAAGGCATTTTTTTTTGTATAGCACATTTTCATACACAGAGGCAATTCAAAGTGCCTTACATAATGCACACAAAAATAATATGTACATTTAAAGAATAGAAGAAAGATAAGAGAATGCTAAATGTGAGGCTATTTCACTGTGACAATTATGTCAAAAAAGAGGAGTTATGTGCTTGCCTGGCAACTGAAGGCTACCACTATCGCTGCAAGCACAGAGGTCCTTTGTCAATAATGTCTCATTCTCAGAGTCAGTCTGAAGACGCTGTGGCTCACAGGCATTCCACAGATTTCAGGATGTGGTGTACTATGCCCAGTGGATAGCTGCCTGAAGCACTGGAGACACTCATGGGGGAGAACTCATTAATGCCTGCATTTGCCAGGAGCACAGGCTGTTGATTACAGATGGACCATCCTCTAGCATTTCCTATCTGCATCCTGTTTCTGCCCACACCTGCTTTAGAGAAATAATGCTGCTCTCACATTCTGTCACTCTCATCTGTCATTTCCTTTGAAACAGTAGGATCTGTGTAACTTTTAAAACTATGGAAATTAATCGTAACAATATGCTGCAGCGGGAAGATGATAAATAATAAAGAAGGAAATGAGAGATTATTGAAGTGAGGCAGAATAATATATTCTTCTACTTAATTTGATATTTACGGTGTGCATAACTGCAAAAGAAACTGAAATGTAAGTTGAAACTGACAAAGATGCTGCTTATGACTCTGCAGTTTCATATTATACTTCAGAGGTGGAGCAGACAGCTCCTTGCACTGCATTTGTGATGCAAGTAGCATACAGTGAAAAACATGTCATTACAGCATTTACCTCGGGTTGCAGCCCACAGTCTGCAAGCAGTGTCTACATTTAGATACATTTAGGTCATGTGACTCAATGGACCTTTGTGTAACGCCAAATTGTAAGCACGTCATTTCTCAAACAAGGTGTTTCAGAAATACTGATTTTCTCACTTTAAAGTGGCTGTTTGCTTTTAATGTCATGTCTTGTTGGAGCTCACTCTTTTGTTGTGCATGCACAGTATGCTTTGCACAGTTGCATGTAGGAGAGGTTGGGAGGTTCAGTGCTGGTAATATCATAATGTTCCAGGGAAGGGTGGGGTCAAATATGTTGTTTTCATAGTTTCTGAATTCTGTCAGTTTGTGGCACAGATTTGGATCATTGCCTGAGTTCTATCAGGGATTTAGAGCAGGTCTGACATGCATGCTATTGTATGCATGGATCTGGAATCTGGATTTAGCCTACTGAGAATCAGGAAAGTGTGCTCTTACAAAACCACAGCCTCTTCCTTTTCATCTCTTAAAAAAAGCCCCCTTTAGGTTGGACATTGTGAGCAAGTGTGCTCACTAACCAGCTGTGTGCTATTCAGCTGTGGGCCACGTGTCACAACAATACAATAGAGTGCCCCTTGCTGGTACAATGGTATGGATGGCTGGTGTGAAAGGTCAGGCCCCCCTGACTCTGGCAGCCCCTGGTGTCACTGCTTCAGTCACTATACAGAAAAGGGTCCCGATTTTGTGCTGTTTATTATGCACTCAGTGTTTCTGCCCGGGGGCTCTAGCATTCCACTGGCCTTTATTGGAGCCCCGGTGAGCCATCAGATGAGCTGAGCCATTGAGAGCAGCCAGACACCATCTGCAGTGATAATTCACTAATGGCAGCCAGGCAGGGATGGTTTGAAGACCATAGTGTGACTGTGCTTAATTGCAGGGCATGCAGAGCAGTAACTTCCTCCGGGCAGCCTGCGAGTGGGTTTAGGAGAAAAGAAGAATTTGCGGGGTCTTTACTGCGGCAACACAATCTGTGCATGAAGAGTTTCATGGCAACCAAACAAACAACTAGCAGTGATGGCGTCATTGGTTCCGCTGTCATTCCTGTGTGATTTAGTCATGCTGTTCTGCGTAAGGAAATGTCTTTTTAAAACTTGGTCTCATTTCCTCTCACATGCATGCACTATTTCTGTCCTCAGATACACTGCATCCATGCATACTTTGGAAGTTTTGTGAATGTGCTCATGATCTGGTCAGACATGGTGAATGCACTGGGAGGTTGGCATGCAGTGCTTTATCCTCTTCCTTTATGTTTCCTGATACCTGTGTCAATTTGTGCATTGCATTTGCACAGCAAGTTGTCTGTTGTTGCTGTGCTAAATCTGCTATTGTAACAGCTTTGTGTGCCTGCACACAGAAAAGATCATTGTTGTGTTGTGTTGTGCTCAGGCTTCTGCAGAACAAACCCCTTCACAGTTTCCCGTACAATACACTCATAAAGGCACCAATGTTTTTTTCATGCAAGTTAGTCTGTAATTACAAGACTAATGTGGTTAAGATGGTTGGAGGATGGTGCTGTTGACTTTCCTGCAGAACATTTTGTTCAGGAAATCTTGATTGCATCTGGAATCTTATTGCATTTAAAGTCAGAGGATTTTACAGCAGGTGTCTGTCTGCCTTGCATGTAGTTTCACAGCTGCTCCCAGGGGACTCTGTCTGTGCGTATAGAGACAGATTTTGCAGTGGGGCAGATGGAAGTCTGAACACACTCTTT